AAAGAAGTGGCTCGAAGATCATTACATTGAAATTTTGGATCCGTGGCCAGGCAACTCCCCGGATCTCTATCTCATAGAGAACCTGTGGTCAGTCCTCAAAAGGTGAGTGGACAAGCAGAAGCCCACAAATTGTGATCAACTCCGAGAACTAATAAGGCAAGAATGGATCGCCATCAGTCAGGATTTGGCCCAGAAGCTAATATCCAGCATGCCAGAGCGAATTGCAGAGGTTATGAAGAACAAGGGTCAACTCTGTAAATATTGACTCATTTTTTTGCCAATAAAAGCCTTTAAAACTTATGATATGCTTATCATTGTTTTTCAGTATACCATAGAAACATGTGGGAAAATAATCTACAAATCCTGAAGCAGCAAACTTTGCAAAACATAAAATTTATGTCACTGCCGAAACGTTTGTCCATGACTGTAGTAGAGAGACGCTGCCAGGTAGAATTAATTCACACACGCAATCACTCTCACTAATGCATTCATATAAATGTAATCTTTATTGTGCTACTTTATCTGTATCTCATAGAATGAGCAGAAATCTGTGAGAAATACAACAACCCAAAGGCAAAAGAACTGATAAAAATTAGTTGTTATAGGAGTAATAGCCATGTGGGCAGCGCTGTGTCATATGCCATAGCTGTGCACAAGGTGTTTGTCACAGCTCCAGACTTATTTGTTCATTAATGACGTCATCAGTGACTAGTCGACTTCGACTCGACTTTCATCTCATAAAAGTCGACTTTAAAAATCAGAAGTCGTTCAACCCCTACTGAAAAAACTACACACAGAATTACATACATTCTAATTCTAAACATAAATACCTTAGTATGTCCAAACTTGTACTGGTTGTGGTCAATATCCAAAGAGCCCAATAACTTCTCAGCTCCTTTCCTGCTGTCAATGAACTGACCCTCTGGGATGGTAGCAGGGTTCAGTATACGATATCTGTTGTTGCATAATAGTTGGATAATATTGGATAATAATTATTTTTGGTGAAGTGCATACATTTTTCACCCAAGTGCAACTCAGATGTCCTGTATTCATAAGTGAATGTACCTCTGCTTGAAATCTCCATACAGGATCCTGTTGGGGAATCCCTTTCTGCAGATTCTGATGCCCTCCAGCACACCATTACAGCGCAGCTGGTGCATGACCAGAGGATTCTCCATCGCCCCAGGAGTCTTAGTCTCATTGGGGATGATGCAGCGCACAAAGTGAGGGTGAGTTGACCTCAAGTTGGTCATCAGCTTGTTCAGGTTCTCCTGTTGGTAGATATTATCAATCACTCTGACAACATATATTTTAGGTTGTCATACTCATTAAAGAGATTAAGAAACCAAATCATACTATATTACGGAAATCATTTTAGTGTGTAAAACACTCTATATGTTACCCGGTGAAGAGCAGACACTGTCTGGAAAGAAGAGCCCTTTTTCTTCTTCTCCTTTATTTTGCCGCCACCTTCCGCCAAGGCTGTTGCAAGAAACAAACTTTGTTTTTTCTTAAAAATTAACCTTTAATCAAATCCTTAATTGTCTCAGATTTTTCCCCCTTTGACATCAACAAAAAAAAAAACACACCTGATTCAGCTCCAGCATAATTAGCAAACAGGTTAGACAACAGTTTCATGGTGGACTTCTGATACAGGCCAACAACCGTCTCATTAAGAGGATCCTTGTTCTTCACCAGCCAGTTATTGATGTTGTAGTCAACTGTGCCAGCGTAGTGAACCAGGGCGAAATGGGCCTCTGGTTTACCCTTGATAATCCTGGGCTTCTGGAAGTTGTTTGATTTCCCCAAATGGTTATCATAAAGCTTAGCTTTGAATGTTGCATCACTAGCTTTGGGGAACATGCACTCCTCTTCAAGAATGGACATGATACCCATGGGCTATAGAGAAGGCAGGTTTATACATTAAAACAAACCTTATGTAACTTGAAGCAAAAATGGATATTAAATAAAGCTTAAAGATGAGATGTTCAGAAAAAAGGCTTTGTACACCCACCTTTTCAATGAGATCAATGCAAGCCTGCAAGTCCATGCCAAAGTCAATGAACTCCCATTCAATACCCTCCTTCTTGTATTCCTCTTGCTCCAACACAAACATGTGATGGTTGAAGAACTGCTGCAACTTCTCATTAGTGAAGTTGATGCACATCTGCTCAAAGGTGTTGAACTGCAGGTGGAATATATTGTATAATCACAATGACAAAGTAGAAAAAAACTAAAGTTCTTAACAGTAATCAGTAGATTTAATCTTACATCAAAGATCTCAAATCCAGCAATGTCCAGCACACCAATGAAGTACTGACGAGGCTGTCTGGTGTCCAGGGATTGGTTGATTCTCACAACCATCCAGAGGAACATCTTCTCGTACACTGATTTGGAAAGAGCACCAGTGGCATAGTACACCTGCCCGATGGACATTGAAATGTTACAAAACAATAAGCTTTTATGGTTAGGTTAATGATGAGGTGATGTAAATCACAAAGTAGTCTCCACCTGCTGGACATTCTGTCCCTTGGTGACCCACTCATTCCCTACTTTGACTCTTGGGTGGCACAGAGCCTTGATGAGATCAGCAGAGTTCAGGCCCATCAGATAAGCTGATTTATCAGCATCTGTCATCAATTAAAAAGAAGGTTGACTGTAATGAATCTATCAACCAATAACTATGCATCCTGTCAGCATTTTCTCCTGATACCAACCCTCAGTCCCATCAGCCTCTGCCTGTTCCTCTCGTTGCTTCTGCTTTCTGGAAGTTGTTTGATTTCCCCAAATGGTTATCATAAAGCTTAGCTTTGAATGTTGCATCACTGGCTTTGGGGAACATGCACTCCTCTTCAAGAATGGACATGATACCCATGGGCTATAGAGAAGGCAGGTTTATACATTAAAACAAACCTTATGTAACTTGAAGCAAAAATGGATATTAAATAAAGCTTAAAGATGAGATGTTCAGAAAAAAGGCTTTGTACACCCACCTTTTCAATGAGATCAATGCAAGCCTGCAAGTCCATGCCAAAGTCAATGAACTCCCACTCAATACCCTCCTTCTTGTATTCCTCTTGCTCCAGCACAAACATGTGGTGGTTGAAGAACTGCTGCAACTTCTCATTAGTGAAGTTGATGCACAGCTGCTCAAAGGTGTTGAACTGCAGGTGGAATATATTGTATAATCACAATGACAAAGTAGAAAAAAACTAAAGTTCTTAACAGTAATCAGTAGATTTAATCTTACATCAAAGATCTCAAATCCAGCAATGTCCAGCACACCAATGAAGTACTGACGAGGCTGTCTGGTGTCCAGGGATTGGTTGATTCTCACAACCATCCAGAGGAACATCTTCTCGTACACTGATTTGGAAAGAGCACCAGTGGCATAGTACACCTGCCCGATGGACATTGAAATGTTACAAAACAATAAGCTTTTATGGTTAGGTTAATGATGAGGTGATGTAAATCACAAAGTAGTCTCCACCTGCTGGACATTCTGTCCCTTGGTGACCCACTCATTCCCTACTTTGACTCTTGGGTGGCACAGAGCCTTGATGAGATCAGCAGAGTTCAGGCCCATCAGATAAGCTGATTTATCAGCATCTGTCATCAATTAAAAAGAAGGTTGACTGTAATGAATCTATCAACCAATAACTATGCATCCTGTCAGCATTTTCTCCTGATACCAACCCTCAGTCCCATCAGCCTCTGCCTGTTCCTCTCGTTGCTTCTGCTTGAACTTCATGTTGCCGTAGTGCATGATGGCACCAATCAGCTTGTAGATGCCGTTCTTCTCCTCTTGGGTGAAGCCCAACACATCAAACGCTTCCTACAGCAAATGTACAGTGTGTCTAATAATTCATTGCATTACATTGCATGTTATATGGACTTTAGTTCTAAAGCTTGAGAAGTTAATATCAACAGATTTATGCATGTTTTGGATAACGCACATCTGTAGCCATCAGCTCGTCAGCATCATTAATAGAGGCCACTTGTGTCTCTCCTTGAGAGATGAAGGCGTAATCGTAAGGGTTTGCTGTGATCAGCAGCATCTCTGAGAGGAAGAACACAAGTCACTCAGACATCATGTTGTAATGTGTGATAGGCAGGTCTTGCTGTTACTAATTTTTTTGCCCACCCAGCAGCTCCGGTTTCTTCTGAGACAGGATCTGGTAGAAGATGTGGTAGTCTCTCTCAGCCTTGAGCTGGAAAGTCACACGAGACTTCTCCAGAAGATCTGTCAAGGAGAACATTTACTTTAAAATCATTAATGCATTAAGTGCATTATTTTAAAATGGAACCAAGCATTGGTGTTCTTACAAGTTTCTATATCCGCAGAAGCGAGTTTGCCATTTGCAGCAAAGTGAATGCGGATAAACTTGCCCTGTTTAAAAAAAAAAAACTTACTTCTGTTAGTAAAAACAGTTCTTTAGTTTGTTCTCCAGTTTTCAACTCTATTTCATTCACTTACAAATCTAGATGAGTTGTCATTTCTGATGGTCTTGGCATTGCCAAAGGCCTCGAGAGCAGGATTACACTGGATGATTTGATCCTCCAGAGTACCCTAAAAAACACAACATTTGAAATTTGAAATTTGTGTATGATGAATGGAAATTAAACAAAAGTCCAATAAGTTTTATTTTAAATTCAGATCTTCTCAGTTTACCTTTTTTTCACTGGTCTCCTTCTTTGAAGGACTAGCAGCAATGCTGGCAAAGTACTGAATGACTCTCTTGGTGTTCACAGTCTTTCCAGCACCAGATTCTCCACTTTAGGTTTAAAGGTAACATGTTAAGAACTGCACTACATTTTTAAAAAACTATTATAGAAAGTGATAAACAGAAGCAGACTTACGTGATAAGAATCGACTGGTTTTCTCTGTCTGAAAAGGGCAATAACATATGAAATAACATTAGTTACTGTATGTTCTAACCAAACTAAAATTAATGCATTTAATAAAAAGCAACTAACCATATGATTGTGCATAGTTAGAAGCTCGAAATTGATAAACCTCAAAATGGGGAAACCACTTCCAATTATTTTATGTTAGTGTTGTCAAACGTCATATATCAAACTATTTTTCCATTATCTGTCACTTGATAGAAACTAGTCAAATTAGGCAGATGCCAACATGGACAAGTTGTGTGACAGTCTCAAAAACCATAAACAAAACTATGTAAAGTAGAAAAATGGTGCATATGAGAAAATCAGTTACAAGCTTCAACACAACGTTTTCATTTATTGGTATTCATTTATTTTGGTGTCGGGTTGATGTGATATCTGGGTCCTAAACTAAAACCAGTCAAGAACCAGTGGTGTCAAGTAGACGCACCTGACAGCATGTACTGGTCATTGCCAAAGGCCTCAAGAGCAGGATTACACTGGATGATTTGATCCTCCAGAGTACCCTAAAAAACACAACATTTGAAATTTGAAATTTGTGTATGATGAATGGAAATTAAACAAAAGTCCAATAAGTTTTATTTTAAATTCAGATCTTCTCAGTTTACCTTTTTTTCACTGGTCTCCTTCTTTGAAGGACTAGCAGCAATGCTGGCAAAGTACTGAATGACTCTCTTGGTGTTCACAGTCTTTCCAGCACCAGATTCTCCACTTTAGGTTTAAAGGTAACATGTTAAGAACTGCACTACATTTTTAAAAAACTATTATAGAAAGTGATAAACAGAAGCAGACTTACGTGATAAGAATCGACTGGTTTTCTCTGTCTGAAAAGGGCAATAACATATGAAATAACATTAGTTACTGTATGTTCTAACCAAACTAAAATTAATGCATTTAATAAAAAGCAACTAACCATATGATTGTGCATAGTTAGAAGCTCGAAATTGATAAACCTCAAAATGGGGAAACCACTTCCAATTATTTTATGTTAGTGTTGTCAAACGTCATATATCAAACTATTTTTCCATTATCTGTCACTTGATAGAAACTAGTCAAATTAGGCAGATGCCAACATGGACAAGTTGTGTGACAGTCTCAAAAACCATAAACAAAACTATGTAAAGTAGAAAAATGGTGCATATGAGAAAATCAGTTACAAGCTTCAACACAACGTTTTCATTTATTGGTATTCATTTATTTTGGTGTCGGGTTGATGTGATATCTGGGTCCTAAACTAAAACCAGTCAAGAACC